GAACATTGTTGGATCTTAGCTATCTGGAGTAAACAAGGTAATACAAAACTGCAGGCTAAGCAATTCTCCTTAAGGAGAGAGGTATATGGTGGAGGTGGGCAGAACTGCATGGGATCTTGAAGAGAAAGGTGTCAAATTATGTCCCTGTGTAATATAGTATCTGCCTTCAAGCCACCTGTTGACTTATTGGAACCCCATACATTTCAAAAGATTTTCTTAGGCAAGGCATACTCAGGTGGTTTTGCCAGTTCCTTCATGTTTTATAATGTAGCCTACAGCACCTGGTATTCCTTGAAGGTATCTCATCCAAGTACTCACCAAGGCTGAACTTGGTTTGCGTCCAAGATTAGATAGGATCTGGTACCTTCCTTCCAGAAACATTTTCTAAGGAAACCCATTCCTAAGGGGACATAGAATATGGGGACCCTTATGCCCCATGAAATTCAACCCGTTGATCCATTGTGTTAGTAGGCTAGGTTTAAAAGGGTGGTACTTTTTTAGTATCTTAAGAGCTGGCGACATCCTTAGGAACATCCCAAGGGCCTAAGGGAGATCCCTGAGGATGTTTGTTGCAATGCTTTCAGTTAAAGGAAAATAGGAGGATGCATCTTGGATGCTTCCCCCACTCTCCACCAACAGGGAAATGGATGTCTCAAGGGAGCTGCCACATTAAAAAGCTGGGTTTGGGTGTAGGGAATATTTTTGACATTGTACAGTCATCGTAGCTCACTAAGAGACATTATTTCATTGATATTCTCCCATTTCCCCAAAAACAAGACTCAAGATGGCTTGCAAAATGAAAAACAAAAACAGAATAAAGCACATACAAAGATATAAGAACAAACACACAAAGTTGGTAAAAATGCAATAAGTATGCATGGAGGAGCTGGTTTTTGTTGTTGTTGTTGTTGTTTTTAAGGTAAGATTACACATCCATGATATTTTTATTCCTTCTCCTTTCAGCAGCTTTTCTCCAAAACATTTGAATTTAATTTGAAACTTAGAAAAGTTTTAAAACATTTTGTGGGTTGATGGGAAAGGGGAGTGGATCTTACGGGGGGGGGCATTTGTAATTACATGCCATATCACTGAGGATGCATCTACACTGTAGAAATAATGTAGTTTGCTATCACTTTAAATGCTGTAGCTCCATCCTACAGAAACCTGGGATTTGTAGTTTTACAAGGTCTTTAGTCTTCTCTGCCAAAGAGTGCTGGTGCCACAAGAAACTATGAATCCCAGGATTCAGTAAAATGGAGCCATAGCAGTTAAAGTAGTGTCAAACTGTATTGTTTCTACAGTGCAGATGCACTGAAAACCAAAGTGTATGTCATTTATACTCTTGCAAATCTTTGTGAAGTACGTCAAAATTGTTCCTATTTTACAATTGGAACACTGAGGCTAAATGAAACCAAATGACAGTACATTAACTTATCCAGAATCATCCAACATGAATTTGATAGCAAACCACCTATCTGTTCTGAATTATTATTTTGTGTATGAATGCCCTTGCTTGGAAATATCCTGGTTTGCACAAAACATGGGTGATCTAGAGTTATTGTTTCCTTTCAATGGAAAACTAAGCTTTGCTGTATGTACAACTTCTTTTTGAGGACCATTGTATTAGAACTCACTACTCCAAGAACAAAATAATAGAAAAACAAGCTTCTAATTGAGCTGGTCTCCCCCTCCTTACCCCATCCGCTTTTGTGATGTTTGGCTCAAATCTTTTCTACAGCAGATCAATACTGAACTTGTTTGCATTTACTGGTCTACCTTTACAATTGGTTTAGGTACTTGGATGTATACAGAGGTCAATTCAGCTGGAAATGCTTGGAGAGAAACTAAATTTCTTTTACCTGTTTGTGTTTGAGTTGAGGAAATTGAGTTGAGAAAAGAAAATTTCATTTTTCTTCTCAGGAAATCGGTTTGTTTTTAATTGCAGCCACTACCCTTTATTTATAATGTGTCGGCACCTTGTAAGACTAAGGTGAGGGTGGAGAGGTGGGGAGCAGAACTCAGCTTCCACTTCTATTTTCAGATCAGAAATAAAGTGCTACTCCCTTTTTATTCCTCCAACACATTTTATTGTTATGGTCAAAATCCCTGTGAACCTCCCTGAAATTTGAGATCTTGAGCAGAGCTCTTTATCTGTCCCACTACCACTTGAAACCAGGCTGATGGATAAACGTGACAGAGCTTTCTCTGTAGCAGCAACCCAGCTGTGGATTTCCTTCCCAAAGGAAGTCCAGCTGCCTCGATCCCTTCTATTATTTTGTCTGGCCCCTAATACTGGCTATGCATCTACACTGTTGAGAGAATGCAGTTTGGCTCCACTTTAACTGCATGGCTCCATCCTACAGAATCCTCAGATTTGTAGTTTCTTGTGGCACCAACACTCTTTGGCAGAGAAGGTTAAAGACCTCATAAAACTACAAACCTTGGGATTTCATAGTATATCAATGAAATAATATCAAACGGCATTATTTCTATAGTGTAGGTGCACGCTAACATTAGGCATAGCTGCTTTGTCTATTTTAACTATTTTAAAAGAGTTGCTTCAGTCTGGTTTTAAATGTTTTTTATTTGTGTATTTAATGCTTTATTGTTTTTTTTACTTCAGGGTTCCTAGTATATTAAAAGGCAATAAATAAGATACTTCCATTTTAAAACATAAAATTAAAAATCTGATAGTGATGCTATGATGAAGATTCCTTATAAATATATATTAAACTTCGTAACTATAATTTTTGATATTAGATACTTTTAAAATTTAAGAGATTAGATTTAAGGCTAGATAAGGAACATTAATTCTGTGGAACAACTTTCTCCATGCCATTATCACAACATTTGTAGAGATCAAGCATGAGAAACTCAATCCAAAAATTATTTGATGAAGAAGAAATTGGAGCTCCTTAGGGAGTGTGAATGAATTGCATTCACCCTATTTTCATTTTCATAGGGCCAAATCTAAGGGTGTACTTTCATTGGATCCTATTGCTTCTGCTAGATTCATTCTCACTTCTCTAATCTCTTTTAC